ATATATAGAAGCTATTCTTGGATTGGGGTCCCTTCTTTCTAGGTGTGTCATGTTGACAACCAAGATAGCTGTCAACTTGACAAGCAAACATATAATTTTTAAAACATAACCTTTTGAGCCGGGCGTTGGTGGCTTTAATCCCAGCACTCAGGAGGCAGAGGCAGGCGGATCTCTGAGTTGGAGGCCAGCCTGGTCAACAGAGCGAGTGCCAGGATAGGCTCCAAAGCTACACAAAGAAACCCTGTCTCGAAAAACCAACAAACAAACAAAAAAACCATAACCTTCTGTTGTCCCCCAAGATGTCCAACTTTAGAAGTCCCATACTCTTGTAAAATTAAAAATTTCAACGTTTTGAAAGTCCAAGTTCTCTTGTATAGTATATGCATGGATATTTTCCTTGCATGTGCATCTGGGTACTGTATGCATGCCTGATGGCCACAGAGGCCAGAGAGGGTGTCAGATTCTCTGCTGCTATAATTACAGACAGCTGTGGGTGTTGGAAATTAAACCTGGGTCCTCTGGAAGAGCAGCCAGTGCTCTTAACTATTGAGCCGTTTGTCTAGCTCTGTTCAGGTCTCCTTAGAAAACATCCTCACTAGGCATTGTGGCACACCTTTAATTCAGTACTCTGGCGGCAGAGGCCAGTGGGCCTCTGTGACATTTAGGTCAGCCTGGTCTGCATAGTGAGTTCCAGGACAACCAGAGCCTCATAGTAATACTCTTGTATTACTATTACAAAAAAGTTCCAGGTCTTAACTGTGGCCTTCTGTGGAATAAAAAACAAGTCAAATACTTCTCTCCTTTAAGAAAAAAACATGGCATAAAAACTGGTTATATTTAAGTAAAACCAAAGTTCAGTGGTATAGTTCCCAATCTGGTATCTTGGACTTGCTTGTGATCTTCTGGGCTCCATGGGACTTGAGCAGTCAGTCCCTCTTCTGGAGCTGCCATCAGCCACACACAACACTTGTCTTCTAGGTTCAGGTCAGCTCTGATCCTCATCTGCCATTGTTCTTGCATCTCCAATATATCCTTGGGTTGCCACAGCAACTGAGGCTGTACCTTCACCTTCGTAGATGGCTTCTCTTGCCCCTGTCTCTTGGTACCAAGCCTCAGCCACTCTTCAGGAGAGATCTATGGTGCCTTTAAAATCAGAACAGTGTGGGAGACTTACATATTTCCAAGTTCTGCCAGTTTGATGTGCAGCCTTGGACCCCTGCTCACTGTATGTTCCCCAGAAGGCTGACCAGCAGAAGGTTTCACTTCCACAGATCTTTTTGTTTTGTTTCTAAGACAGGGTTTCTCTGTGTAGCCCTGTCTGTCCTGGAACTCAGAGATCTACCTGCCTCTGCCTCCCAAGTGCTCAGATTAAAGGTGTGGGCCACCACCACCCAGCCACTTCCATAGATTTTTAATCTAAAATGTCACCCAAACAGCCCCAATAGTGTTTTTGTTTCCCTCAGAAACGTCACAAGTCTGCACTGCCCAGACATAAAACCCTAGATTTAATTTCAACAACTTCCTTCAAGCTCACTACAGATCATAGATGCTACCTTTGTGGTTTATTGACCTTTTTTTTTTTTTTAATTCTGTGATTCATTACAGGTTATAGGTGTATTATATATAAAAAACAACCTAGTATTTCCTGTCTAACAGAAGAACTATGCCTCTGGATAAGGAATGGGATGATAATTTTTTTCTTTGTAGGTTCATTTCTTGCTTTAATTCCACAAGACTGTTGTAGTTTTAACTTTCTAGAACCCATGCTATGAGTACAAAATACAGAGGACAACTTTGAGACTATCAGATTGAAACAGACATTTTGGTTCATTCATGTAATCTATGTATTTGGAAGGCTGAGGTAAGAGAATTGCCAAGAGTTAAAGACCATTATGGGCTACATAGTAAGACTGTCTTTAAAATTCAGAGAGTATCTGGGTGTGGTGCTGCACACCATGAATCTTAGCACTCTGAGAGGCAGGAACAGTGGAATCTTTGAGGCCATCCTGGTCAGCCAGAGACCCTGGATCTAAATAAATAAATAAATAAAATAGAAACCCACAAAGAAGGCTGGGAATATGTCTTAGAGGAATGCTTGCATAAGATACACAGAACACTGGGTTGGGCCCCCAGTACCACATAAAGGAGGGAAAGATAAGTCTGAGGATGAGAAGTTCAAAGTTATCCTTGACTGCATAGAGGGTTTGAGGCCAGCCTGGGTTACATGTGTGCTGATATTATTATTATTATTTATGATGTATTAAAGCTTGTCTGAGGGTTCAGAAAGAAAGCAAAGCTGCCCACAAGCCATAGAGGTCAGACAGTGGTGATAAACACTTTTAATCCCAGGACTCAGGAGACAGATTTATCTCTCTGAGTTCAAGGCCACCCTTGGCCTACACAAGAGTGAAGAGTAACAGAGCTCACGCCTTTGATCCCAGCACTTGGGATCACACACCTTTAATCCCAGCAGTAGGGAGGTGGAGACAGGAGTGATATGGCTGGGTAGAGAAAGGAATATAAGGAAGAGGAGACAGCAATTGAGAGCATTTGCCTCTGAGGATTTCAGCCTGAGGTAGAGGTAAGAACTAGGCTAGTGGCTGCCTGCTTTGCTTCTCTGATCTTCAGCTTGAAGCTTGAACCCCAATATCTGGCTCTGAGTCTTTTATTATTCATGTTACATACATGAGACCTTTGCCCCCAAAAAACTTATTTTCTACATTATAGTGCTTCCTGTTTTGTGCATTCATATTATTTCAGTTTTGTTGTTGTTGTTTTGTTTTGTTTTTTGAGACAGGGTATCTCTTGTATAGCTCTGGCTGTCATGGAACTTGCTGTGTAGACCAGGCTGGGCTTGAACTCACAACAGAGATCCCTTGTCTCTGAGTGTTGGAATTAAAGGCAACACCCGGCCTTATTTCAGATTTTGTATGTGTATATATGGTGACAGTAGACTTGAGTCTGTCACATTTGAATAACACATTCCAGCTCCTACTTACTGGAGTTTACAAATAACATCTAATACAATAGAAGTTAGAGGTATGTGACTTATTAAGTTACCCTTTTTTATAGGCAGCTGATTGTATATATAAGGTCACACTCTTGGCAATTAAGGATTTAAAGTTGGGCTTTTTTGTTTGGGAAAATCTGCAAGGGATTGAACCCGTGGAGCCTGGCTTATGACTAAACAAGCATGCTTACCACTGAGCTATATGCCTAACTTGTAGACTGGGCTTGTTTTTGTTGTTTTTAAGGATTTTTTTTTTTAATTGTCTGTGTGTATCTGCCTGTCTGTCTGTGTGGGGTCTGTGAATACTATTATGTACGTGTCTGTAAAGGGCAGAAGGCATTGGATTCCCTAGACCTGGAGTTACAGATGTTCAGGTCTCTGTAAGAGGAATAAGCACTCTTAACCAATGAGCCATCTCTCCAGTCCAAAATTGGGAGGTTTTTTTGGGGGGGAGGAGTGGGGGTTCAAGACAGCTCAGTAGTAATAGAGCCAGTCCTGGAACTCTCTGTAAACCAGGCTGGCCTCGAACTGACAGAGACCGCCTGCCTCTGCCTCTCGAGTACTGGGATTAAAGCTGTGCACCCAATGCCCAGCCAAAACTGGGAGTTTTTAAAAGGTTTTATTACTATATAGTTTATGTACCCTAAGAGTCACTCACACCTAAGGGTGGTGGTGGTGCAAACCTTTAGTCCCAGCAATCAGTAGGCAAAGGCAGGCAGCTCTGTGAGTTTGAGGCCAACCTGGTCTACACAGTGCATTCCACTGACAGCTTCTCTCCCCCCCCCAAAAAAAAAAAAGTTACCCACTGAAATTGTACATCCCCCAAAAAGTTTATTGTTTTTTTTTTTTTTTTTTTTTTTTTTTGGTCTGTTTGTTTGTTTGTTTTTTGTCTTTGAGACAAGGTCTTTTGTTTGGTTTTTCTGAGACAGACTTTCTCTGTGTAGCCCTGGCCTTGAACTCCTGTTTTTGTCTTTTGGTCAGTATTTCTAGATTTGTGAAACTGTTAGCACACTCCCATTTCAGAAAATTTCCTCAGTCTGATCTATTTCATGTCTCTAAAAATGTATCTTGTGAGGACATGTCAGAAAATACAAAAGAAAGCCTTTTTTTTTTTTCTTTAGACAGGGTTTCTCTGTATTGTTTTAGACGCTGTCCTGGAACTCAGTCTATAGACCAGGCTGGCCTTGAACTCAGGAATCTGCCTGTCTCAGCCTCCCAGGTGCTAGGATTAAAGGTGTATGCCACCAACCCCAGCCACTCACACCTAAGTTTATTTCCCCCCTTTTTTTCTTTTCTTTTCTTTTTTTTTTTTTTTTTTTTTTTTTTGTTTTGTTTTGTTTTTCTCGAGACAGGGTTTCTCTGTAGCTTTGGAGCCTATCCTGGAACTAGCTCTTGTAGACCAGGCTGGTCTCGAACTCACAGAGATCCGCCTGCCTCTGCCTCCCGGGTGCTGGGATTAAGGCGTGCACCACCAACGCCCGGCTTCCTCCCTTTTTTCTATAATAATTCTTTACATGACTTTGTGTGAATATACTTTTTCCTAAGCTTCAGTGAAAATCTAAGATCAAATTTGTTGGATCTTTTTTTTTCTCTGTAGAGCTGGGGGTCAAACTTACGGCATTACATGTCCTAGGCAAGTACCTTACCACAAAACTATACTTCAAGCCTCTTGCTAAGTCTAGGTGGTTTTGTTGTTGTTGTTTTTGAGACAGGGTTTCTCTGTAACTTTGGAGCCTGTCCTGGAACTCACTCTGTAGACCAGGCTAGGCTTTAACTCACAGAGATTCTCCTGCCTCTCTTAAGTCTTTATAGAATTCCTTTCCTTTGCTTATATGTTCTCTTTAAAGTAAGCATTGACACTGAAAAGGCTGTGGATGTAGTTTGCTAGAACTTGTCAGTCTTAAGTTCTGCAGAGATGGTAAATGGATAAAAATAGGGTGTTACCGCCATTCCTCAGTCTTTCCCTTTTGTCTTTATTGTTATTGTTCAGGGAGCACAATACTTGGGAACCTGAGAAGAACTTGGATTGTCCTGAACTAATTTCTGAGTTTATGAAAAAGTATAAGAAGATGAAGGAGGGTGAAAACAACAAGCCCAGGGAGAAGTCAGAAGGAAACAAGAGGAAATCCAGTTTCTCTAATAGTGCTGATGATATAAAATCTAAAAAAAAGAGAGAGGTAAGCTTCTCCTCCCACTTACTATCCTTTTGCTACTGTCATGCAAAGGGGAGTTTGGTTATTATTTCTTGTCTAAGGACAGACAAAAGCTTCCAGGAAGTATGTTGGTTGACTACAGTGACCCCTTCTGGCCAAGGGAGAGCTCCTGTAACACAGACTCGTTAACTAAAGTGTCAAAATTGATGTGATACTGCTACCGCAAGCCCCCCCCCATAGAAGTACACGTGTGTGTGTGTGTGTGTGCGTGCGTGCGTGCGTGCGTGCGTGCGTGCGTGCGCGCGCGCCAGAGGAAAGTATTAGGAATCAAGTTTCTGTCTTCTAGAAGAGCCGCAAGCTCTCTTAGCCACTGAACCAATTCTAGCACCAATAGGAAGACTCTTAAAACTTTTTCTTTTTAAGGAAAAGTAGCTAAGGAGGTGGCTCAGGAATAGAGGGGCCTATTCCAAGCCTGACAACCTCCCGTATTGTGGAAGGAGAAAACCACCTGCTGAAAGGTTGGCCTCTGACCTCCATGTGAACCTGTCTACTTGAACACACCAAGAGTAATAAAGAACATTTATTACTTTATTAAAAAGACAAAACTTAACTGGGCAGTGGTGCCTCATGCCTTTAATCCCAACCCTTGGGAGACAGACAGAGAACCAAAACAAGCAAACAAAAGATGAAATTAATTTTCATCTTTTGTGTCTATCTGTTCATTGTTTAGTTTGGCAATTAATTATGAATTTTGGTTCAGTTGCTTTTATCTTTCTGATTCTTAGATTGAAGATATTAACATAAATACCATATTGCCTTTTTTTTTCTTCTGTATCTTTACTATGTGCATGTTACACAAATACGCTCTGCCCCTCCAACTTTGCCTCTTTCCATTTTATTTCAAGGTTTGAAGAATATATCATACACTTAAAATCTAATAAAATAGTTTATATAGCCTATATCCTTACATCAATTCCCTGTTTGTCTGCATTATGCTTGGATGCCCATTTTTCTACATTGTTACTCTTAACTTTGACTACACCTTAGACCATCCAGTATCCAAGATGAACCTTTTGAGAGTATCTATGGGTAGACTAAGGCATTGGGGTTTTATTTGTGTATCATTCTTGGCCTATGTTCCTGTTGGGTATCACTACTTCTGTAATATATGATAAAGGCTCTCAAGCAGTCTGAATATCTTGATAAACTATACTGATTAAGAATTTAAGGAGCCAGGTGTTGGTGGCTCACGCCTTTAATCCCAGCACTCAGCACTGGGAGGCAGAGGCAGGTGGCTCCAAAGCAATACAGAGAAACCCTGTCTTGGGAAAGAAAGAAAAAAAAAAACAAACATTTTTCTGAGGAAATAGGACCAGGCTGTTCTCGAACTCACAGAGATCCGCCTGCGCCTGCGCCTGCGCCTGCCTCTGCCTCCTGAGTGCTGGGATCAAAAGTGTGTGCCACTACTGCCCCCGACTGCCTTTTTTTTTTTTTTTTGGTTTTTGGGGACAGGGTTTTTTGTGGGTTTTGGGGGTTGTCCTGGAATTAGCCTTTTT